AACAGTCTTAGTCACCAGACACTGTAGTACAATGAAGGTACTGAATTTTGTCCTTTATTGATTGGTTATGGAAAATTAGGCCAGACCAATCCATTTGATCTGTCACAAATTCCACGTAATGGCAATGATGACAAGAGATCAAACTGTGTGTGAAAATAAATCAGCGACATTTATCAGTGCTACTGATCTCTCCGCAAGGTCAGGAGCATAAACAAGGTCACTGTGACATCAAAAACTTTATTACAGGCTCTGATGATATTCTCATGCAACTACTGCATGATTACTGAAGTGATGCAAGAAAATCAATTGCATTCAAAATATCAAGCAGCGTGTGTTTTAGTAAGTCTGAGTGTGTTGGTTTATGGGTGTAAGGGTTCCTTTAGTGGTGAGAGGGTGTGTGTGCAGGCACACATTACAAAACTGTTTAAAGCTCATTACAACTTAAAGAGCCCATGACCAAAGAAGCCATTTGTAATACTTGGCTAAACAATGGACTGCTTAATTGACTCCATAATCTTTTAAAGCTGAGCCAAAAAAAATCTTCATTTTCAACATCAAGGACAAGATTAATGAAAATCTCTACCACGTCTAGGCATAAAAGAGTGTTTATTTGTCTGCCGTTAATATTTGGCAGAGTGTCCTTTTCAATTTGACTGCAAATTTGAGTTGATGTTGTGGAGAAATGTCAATGTTTATATTTTGAAATCTAAGATCTAACATGAATTTAGTTCATTAATAACACCAACAGTACTAATAATCCATAATAATAAAGTGTTTGAGTAAATGGGAATTACCAAACAGATCTATCTGCACTATGAGTATTACATAACACTCGGTTAATACGCCAATTTACAGTAAAGTCCAACAGTCTATGAGCTTCGTGTCTGGATAAACTCAGATGGAACAATGAAAAATCCCTCACCAAAGAATGAGAAAATCCTGCTAAATTCTTAAAGGTAAAGCAGCTATGAGAAACAAGTGAACATCTCTTGGCTTTTATCTCTCTTCCCACTTTCCCGGCTCTATGAGAACTTTCACCCAGAGGAACATCATTCCATTATGCAGTCACGCTCGTGGACGCGGCCTTTCTGCTTTCCGGAGCTGGAGGAGGTGAACAGTGGTTTGCTTCACTCACTTTCCAATGCATGTATTAAACTCCCAAATGTCAGAGATAGCCACTGTCTTTTATATCTGTTTTAGCTCAGTTTCAAGACACTGAGCAAGGAGATTTTAATCTCAGGCCTCATGCACTGACTATAGCTACTGAAGAAATGGGAGTTTTTCCAACAGAACGAGTCCCTCAGAATGGAAGAGGATTTCTCTATGCTGTCATAAAACACAAACCATAGTGGGTGAGATTTATATATGGAAAGACAACTTAACACCATCTATCTGAATATGATATAATGTAATATTTTTTCAGTTCTATTGCACCAAATTTGTGACTCCGAATCATGGAAGTATTCAGTTTGAATAACGGTCAGCAAAAAGGCAATGAAGAGAAGTTAAATGATATTTAATATTTATAAGATGCAAGTATGTAAATGCTTCAAACTGTGTAGAATCTGAAACAAACCATAAAAGAGTAACAACATTGTTTCTCTGATAAAGTAGAAATGTCCTGCTTTCTCATTTTGAAGGCCATTTCCTATTAATGAACTTTCGCTATCTCTAGTGTGGACGCATCTCACATTATTTCCTGAATAATTGCTTGCTGGAGTTCCAGCAAGAGATAAGGCGGGACAAAGGAAGTGAAATTTATGCCGTTTGAAATTAAACTGTTTGCTTAAACTCTTTGTCTGAACCGCGCAAGCTATTAATGAAATGAAGGCAGGCGGCACTGAACTCCACTGAATCCATTACTGCAGCATCAGCTGCTGTTAATTCCACTGCTGAATATTTCTAATTAAAGACTAAGAAAAGATACTGCTCATCTTCGTTAAGGGACTTAGAAATGTGATTTAATGGAGGTCAGATATATTAGAGACAAGGATAGCTTTATTTGCAACTGCTGTCAGTCTTGCTTTTCTGTCTTTCCCTGTTTACCTCTGACGCTTCTTTCTTTCTGTGTCTCTTGCTCATTCACGCTTGGTTGAGCTTAGCGCTGTAGAAATGAGAGGGCCAGACGCTTTGGTTTTGGATCAGTGGTGTTTGATCCCTCTCCTCTATGCTGGGACGCTGTCTTACGCCACACTGATTGACATTGTGTAGTTGTACGGTGACCTGTGGGGTGTAGGAGCGCAGTCGCCATCACTCTCTCTCTGTCTCACAAAGCTTGACACGCATGTTTGGATTTATAAATACACACTCAGATAGGGCAGAGCAATGCAGCTGAAGTGTAAACACTGTGGTTCTGTGGTGTTATCAGACATTGCTCTTGTTTGTTTGAGCATCCAGACGCTGCAACACTGACTCAACCAATGGTGTATGTTTGGTGCAGGACTATCGTTTGGCTGACCAATGGAAGACTCGGGGAACGTTTTACATATTTTTTAAGAGACCAAACCATTTTTTTTCAGCCTTGCATGCAGCCTGGCAAAACAAGCACACTACAACAACTTATCCTGGACCAAGATGGAATGAAGATTATACAAATTTGTCGGGATAGATGGCTGAAATGTATTCAAAATGTTTGACAGCTTTCCTTAACACCTCATGGAGCCTGTAAATTCTATAAACAAATTTATAGTCAACAAGTTAATTGCTGAACATTTATTTAATTGAGTTACTTTTGTTTAAACAATTAAAAAAACTTTAGTTTAAAAAATTAGTGTTTTTACCATTCATTTTATATGAATTTCACTACACTGTCTAAATCTACACTTATTTTCTACATTAAATTACGACATTCTCCTTTGTTAACAAATCACACTGTGTAAACAGTATGGACCCTATCATACACCCGGCGCAATGCTGCGCCAGGCGCTACGCAAGTGCTTTTTACTAGTTTCAGCCCGACGCAGTTGTCATTTTCACGTCCTGCGACAACTGAATTAGAGTGCGCCATTGACCAACAAAAACCTGGTCTAAAGTCTGGTGCAATATCTATAGGCGAGTGAACAACGCGCGTACACATTGCTTATTACACACACAGGGATGCGCAGCAGCACACAACCATTTTTAAAAATTAAAAATTAAAGGATTAAAATGTAAAAGATTATTATTGTGTATGCTACATTAATATAAGAATGCCTACATGTCATAATGAATAGTCATTGCATGTATTTAGATCCGTTTCCTCTCTGGAGACGCGTTCTGTCTTTGCTTGCAAATTCCACCGTGTAAATAGCAAATTTGCCCTGGCGCGAACACAACTGGCTCTTAAAGGGAATGGGAGATGAGACTCTGATTGGTTTATTGCACGTTATGCCCAAAACACACCCATTACTCATTAAGAGAATAGAGACAACCCTTTTAGACCATGCGCCGGGCGCGCAGACCATTTTTCCCGTCGTTAAACTAGCAAAAGTGGATTTGGACACGCCCTAAGTGCACCTGCGCCGGGCGATTTAGACCTTGCACTTAGATCATTAAAATAGGGCCCAAAATGTGTGTGTGTGTGTGTGTGTACATATTCACAAGGCACTAAGAAAAGAATGGATTATAAAATTACTCAAATCACAGTCTTTAGGAAACTTAATGGCCAAATTAAAATCAATGCTGCTGCTTTTACACTGCACTGCCATCAAAATTTTGTCAAAAATTTTACATTTAACCTATCTCCCAACCTTACACCAAACCAAATGGCAATTATTTAAAATTTTACACATAGATACCTTGGCGAATTAGCACACAACACACTATTTTTGTATAGATTTAAAGACAAGTAGAAAGGGGTGAGAGATGTGTGATTATGATGAATAGCATCATAATATGACAACCACTGTCCAGCAGCACGAGTATCATTTCTGTGAGTCAGAGTTGAAATGTGTTACCAGATCTGCAAATAGATGCTTTTCTCTGCAAGTGCCCCAGACGGCAGCGCCATCAATGAGGACACTCGAGGGTTGCTCCCTAGAAGCCTGCAAGTGTCTGTTTTCATGAAAGCCACTTTTTCCCAGACACAGCAGAAAGTACACGTATTGTCCTGCCCTGTTCAAAACACTCTTTGTGTCGACAGTCAAGGTACGGTCATCTGAGATTTGAAGATAAAGGAGTCTGATCTGGGAAAGGGCAGGTTTGACTGTTACGCCATCAGGAGTGACTGTGGAGTTACTTTTCCCTTTTGTCTCCTGAAGTCAACATTTCCTGTGCAATTTACTTTGCAGCCACAAACATCAAAAACACAGCTTTGTCCTCAAACATACTGCATATAATTTTTGAATGACTGTTATTTTTAATATTGTGCATTGTATCAAGAGCTGGAGACAGCAGACAAGCTTTGATGTGTCTCTGCTAAATCGCCTATTATAGACAGCTAGCACTTCTTCAGCTGTGACGTGTGTTCATGTTTAAGGTGTTGTGAGGAGATTACTAATGAGCAGTAGATCCCTGTAAACTTCATTAGGATGACTTTGACGCACTTGAACATGTCACAGTTGCTCTAGGGTGATCATTACCATCAATCTCCATAAGGGAGGGGGGGGAAATCACATGACCTTAAACTCCTCACATTTAATTATACTCACACACACTCACGGGACATATTTATTAGCTGTATTTGAAAACATTCTAATATCAAGTGAGAAGCCCCATATGGGGCTCATACAATTTTATATAGTCATGTGAATCCCTGATCTGTGCTTAAACACACACCGCTGGCAATAACTTATAATTGAGTGTTAATTTCAATATCTGTGCATGATAATTAATTACCATACTCACATATTCATTAACTTATGTGGTGGAAAAAAACATAATTAATATCACAATTATATGCATCCATCATGATAATAAAATGGCAGTAAAAGGGGAAAGTGAATATTCTTTATAAAACTCTATTATTTATTTATTTTTAGTGATAATGAAGAACTGTACAAGGATTTAGTAAAGACACTCACCTTTTTCTTATTGGTGGGACAGATGTAGAAGTTTGTGACTATGATGGTTGTCCCAGGCATCAAGTTGAGCTTTGTGTAGGTTGACCCATAATCACTGGATCTGCATGGAGGAAGGGAGCAAGAAAGGTCATCTTCCTGATATTATCACTCTGTTTAATTACTGAGTCACACACATATCCATCTGGATAGCATCCTCAGATTATTAGATTTAGAGCTGAGAGGCAACAACAACTTATAACCCACTGTGTATAGTCATGTGTTTCTGACACAGAATATTTTTTGTAAAATAAATAGACTTCCCCCCCCCCCAACTAATCATCTTTCTTACACTGGATATAGATACTGTTTGTACACATACTCATGTCTTTTCAACCCCAAATCTCTGTTAAGTTGTCATAAATATGTAAACATGACACTGGGCTTTGAAATATTCACACAAAATAAACACAGTCAGCAAATAACGTAACTTTTTACAACTCAGCTGCACTGGGAAGGGAACAATTACAAACTTGCTTCAAAACATCAGTTTTTGAGCAGTCGTTCTGAAATGTTTATGCTATTGTGTTTTTGCAGAATGTAACAAACCAAGGCTAAGTATACACTACTGCAGACACAAAGGAAAATACATCTTTTTCTCTGCATTTTGGCCTTCTTTCCACACGGAGATGGCATTTTTGTCCTTGTGAAAACAGAGCTTTTTAAAGACACAATCTCCCAATTGGATATTTTGAAAATGCTGTTTCGGACTCTGAAAATGGAGGTATTTAAAACCAGTGATGCATGTTTAGTCATGTAATTCATATTGTACCTATAGATATCTATGTTTTTACCATTATGTGCCTGTTATGTGCTATTCACTTCCACAGTGTTACTTTGTACAATATTCATATTAAATTCCTGCAGAGGCGGCAAACAATTTATTCGCAGTTGTTGTTTTGCGGCAAAACATGAGAGAAATTGACCCTTCGCAAAAACCCACTCTCCTTAGCTCCTGTTGCTATGTCCGACAAACAATGCCAATCTCACACTACACATCATGTTCTCACACGGTAAAAAATACATCGTGGAGCAAAGAGGAAACTGACAACACGCCAACAGACAAGACAGAGCAGGTTACTTCTGGAATGAAACAAGGTCTCAGCTTTCAAATTTTTTTTTAAGAAATTCAAACAATAAATACGGTTTTGTGACTCTTTAATGTGTCGTGACAGATCACTGTTGCGCCTCAGTTCAAGTGGCACGTGAACCGATCGTCTTTTCATATTTACTTAAAGCACGAAATAAACATGAATGAACATCAGAACGTATTTTATTTCAACCATGGAAAGACATCAATACACACAATTTTTACAAGTTTAAGTTCACCAAAGTTCATCTCTCCTGTCTAATTTGTTTGTTGGGCAAGATGGCGGATTCGGCGTTATGATCGCATGTCAATCAAGCTCTTTGCGAACGGTCAATTGAGTTTTAGAATATACATGTAATGCGGTTGAGTGCGACCTGAACGCACCAGTAAGTGGTGAGATATTTTGCTAATAAAATGATCATGCCAGAAGAATAGCATGAGAAATTCATTATGTCTGGTCTCTCTGTATCATCTAAGTCAGCTTTTATTACATACGCATGTGCTATAACACACTTTTACGTTTTCTGATGTTTTGGTGTGGATGAGAAACTTTTGCAAGACACTTTAAAATGCTAGTAGTATGGACAGAGAGCATTCTGAAATGAAAATGCTGTTTTAAATGTATCTGGATTACTGTAGACATAGCCTAAATGACTGCTATAACAAGAATGTTCAATTTGATCCTGACCACAACGGCATGTTAAAAGCTTGAGCAGACTCTGGTGAGGTCAGCGTCAAATCAGTTTTAAAGATGTTTCAAGTGTGGCAGCTAATGTGACGTCAACTAGCCAGAGATTGATGTCAGCTCAAGGAGAAGCTATTTGAACTGCTGTAGATATAAGACATGACAAGGCAGCATCACAGGTGTGGAAATATTTGCAAAATTCAACCAGGCGGACAGCTGTGGCCTAAACCAGTCTGACACTGTCAGAACCAATCATTATCACGCAACACAGTTACATGAAATGCGCTTAAGAACAAGGTCAAGGTCACAGGGTTACGTTTAAAGTGACTATGTCAGTTTCTTTTACCTCACTGTTAACATACTGTGAACCCTCAGTTAGGTTGAGAGAAAGCATACTGCTGCTGGCAGCCGATATAGTGTGCAAAATGCCTGATCAAAGACTATTCCTCAACACAAACATACAGCGCTAAAGACTTCCCCCATAGAACTAATTAAAAAACAGAAGTGAACAGAACTCTTCTCTGGAGCTCCTGCTGAGCTCACATTTTTGTTTCTTACTTGACAGAACGGAGCAGAACAGAGGTGTTTCAGCTCGAGAGGTTTAAATGAAAGCGGGAGGGAAGGCTGGGCAGGGTGGGGGAAGTGGGCTACCGCTGATCATTATGCCAGGCGTCATGTTTCCAACATCACAGCGAGGTATCATGGCAGGATGAGGAACTAGAGGAGGGTCTGAGGAACAGCATCCTACAAACAGCCTTTTAAATTTAAACATGATGATAGGGAACATGACGGATTGTGCTTTTCAAAGTAGAAATTTGAAATCAAATATCAAATAATTAAAATGTAAATGTCTTTTTTTTAAATGCTTGTTAACCCACCCACAATCAGTATATAATAAAAGGAAGAAATAAATAACAAAATAAAATGAAAATACTGCCATGTCGTCATTTTACATAGTGTTACCGCTTGTGCTTGTTATCAAACTTGTCCTATCCTAAAATGAATACAGTTTCCAGTATCACTCTAAAATAAGATGGTATAATCACAAGAAAGGCACTGTTTTATTATTACTGTTCAAAATTTGCTTCATTATTACCAAAACATCCTCACCTTGGCTACATTTAATTAACAAAAATACCAAAAAATAATACCAAAAAGCCATGCTTATTTTTAAATCATAATTGGATTCCTAATACATGCCATTCATTAAGAAGAGTCGAGTCTGTTAATTAGAATACTCAATCAGACAATGATGGCGTTCAGCGTCTCAAAGTGGAGTCAAACTCGGCAGAGGTCATCAGTGGAGTTGGTGGAGCGAGTGCCAGAAACAGCCAACTCATTAAGTAAATCCTCTTGTGGAGAGTGAAATGTCAGAGGCCTCAGAGGAACATTATGTAACTAATAAAGCTAATTTGGAGGATTGTGTGGCACGCTGCGCTTCGGTTGCCAAACGTTTCGCTAATGATGCTAACTAAATCGGATGGCTCATTTAATGCCACTGATTAGCTGACAGGACTAATGCCGTTGGTGAAGGAGGAGTGTGGATAATAGAGAAACATGAAGGGAAGAAAAGGTGGAGAAGGAGAAAAGGGACAATACTTCAAAACTTCAAATCTAATTGATATCCAGTCAATGATTTTGACTTTCCATGATAAAGTATTCATACAAAATGTTTCAAAAGTTTGGTCTAATAATTTTTTAAATGTTTTTAAAAGAAGTCTCTTATGCTCACCAAAGCTATTGTGAAATATTATTACAATTAAAAAAAAAATGTTTTCTATTACAATACATTTTAAAATGCCATTTATTCCTGTGATGCACAGCTGAATTTTCAACAGTCATTACTCCAGTCTTCAGTGTTGCATGATCCTTCAGAAACCATTAACAGAAAAAGAAAACAAGGTGCATTTCAAGACAATTGAGATATATTAGGCATAAAATATCTCGACATCAACAGGATCATCTGCCAATCTACTGATAATGGTGTATCCTTGATAATGTATCAAGCTTGTAGAAAGTCAAATTAGTTTTGAGGCAATTCTAAATCTCAGAATAAATCAAATTCTTGCCATGAGGGAAAGTGAACTGTTTCCAAGTTTGGAAATGAACAGAAAACATTGTGACTTTCTGTATTCATTTGGGATCATGAGTCATACTCCGTGCAGACATTCGCTGTCACACTGAATCACGGTTCAAGGTATGAGAACAGCCTGTGTATTTGGAGGGAAGCGCTGGAGGAAAACAGTAAGATCGAAAAACGTACAAAAGCATCTACGCATCGAAGAACGTGCACATTATTTTTCAAAGCCATGTACATGTCCTTGTCCTTGACTGTTCTTTTTTGCTTGTTGATGGATCTCTACTGAAAATAACCCACATTTTGACAGGCATACTTGATTTCTGTGCTTGTGTAAAATCCTTCAGACCACCACTAGAGACACAGCGGGAGGTTAGCATTAGCGTCAAACATAATTTACGTGAAGTGGTGTCATAAATATTCTCTGACAGGTCTTCCAAAAACTAGACATTGGCCATGACCGGCACCTTTAATAGACTCCCTGCATTTTAAACAGGCAATTTGTCTTGTCCTGGTGATCTGACAATGACGTGCTCTTTGTTATTTGTACTTTTAAATTGAAATTATTTTTGTTGTTGAACTTGCAGTTAAGCAATGTTTTTGTTTTGCTAACTTGAAATGTCACATATGAAAATGTCTGGTTGCCATTCACCATTCAAATAACGTACTTCCCAAAATATACTTGGTGAAGCTGCTCAAATCTGCTTGTGATAAGCCTGTGCCCACTATATTAAATTCTAGTACTTTTCAAATCTACAATGTGAATAAATTAAAAGCAAACAATATTACGTCAATCAAAAAAATGTTTCACCTTTGAAAGTCTATAGCAGAATAGCACTCCTGCAGCTCAAACAGTACAGCATGGTGCTAACAACATCAGGGTCAAGTATGACTCCCAGGGAATGCATGAACTGATGATAGTCAAGTAAGGTCAAATCAAGTCACCTTTATTTCTATAGCACTTTTTACAATACAGACTGCAGCTTCACAGTAACAACCAAGAAAACAGCAGAATTTAATTCTGTGTAAGAGGTTCTAAAAACACTCAAAAAAATGATTTTTTTGATGCTGTTCACTTTATTTAAACAATTCATTTTGATTTAACACCATGTATCAGGTTTGTCATTCAAACGTGACTGCATCTTGTTAAACTGACTTGAAATGGTTGCTTTTTGGCTTAACTCGATGTTTCCATTTTGAAAGAACATGTTT